AGCATCTCTAACGGATAATTTAAAACACACAAAATCTTCAAATTTTAACTATTTAGCTTAAAAATTTTATTCCAACAGATTATTTTCAAAACATCTAAAATAACATTTTGCTGTAGCGATATGTAAAAAAAATTTATAATATTTTATCTCTCCTCCTCTCCTTTCTTCCATTTTCTCTCTTCCTCCCTTTTATTATTCCCAAAAAAATATAATACAAAAGGAATGAGAAATATTATTTTTTAAAAAAGATTAGTTAAAAATATAAAAAATTTGTTGGAGTATATATTGAAAAAGTAACTAATCTAGCCACACATTTATTGGATTAGATTACTGTTACTTATTCATTACATACACTTCTTTAGTTCTTTATGTACAAAATTTTACATCAGTCAAAAATTAACAAGAAATTCAATTACAAAGGTTTTATAAAAGATTTGTAATCCCTACAACATGTATTTTCACATATAAAACACTAAGTTCTAAGTGATTTCATCATATCCCTCTCCCCCCCCCCTCCCCTCTTCTTCTCTTCCAAAATTAAAAGCCAGTTTAGGTTTCTCTAAGAACTTCCTGCAAATACACCACTCTTTTCTCATCATCCCCACCCAAAAACAAAAGGAAAAAACAAACAACCCATTTATAGTATGCTAATCAGTTTTTTCTCTCATTTCTTTCAATCCATAGTTTTTGGTCTAAAGATAATTTTTTTTTTAAGTACAAAGCCCAAGTTATTTTAAAACCATTGACAGAGAGAAGGACTAGTTCAACCCCCAATGACATTTTTCTGTTCTTTTTTTCACATAAAAACACAGGAAAAATGAAATTACTTCATGAAAAATTACTGCGCAGAGAAAGTAGAGAACTTACCTGAAGAGGAGAGATATGAGCAGCAAAGAACTGCTCAGCAGAAATATAATCCTGACTAAGCTTGGGACAAACTTGAGACGCAGCCAAACAAGCCCTCAAGTTCCCCCAATTATCCGAACTCGTAATATGATCTCTCAACCACGAAGAAAACCCTTCAAGCCTGTACTCCTTGTACCCTCTCCCGGGAACCACATACGCGCCGTTGGGGCGCGTGACGACGAAGGCGAGGACAAGGAAGACGAGCATGAGGACTATGAGGATGGCCATGAAACATAGGTAAAGAGCGAGGAGTGATTGCTTGTTCCAGTACGCGCCGACGAAGCCCAGTAAGGAAACGAGGAGGATGAGAACGCCGGCGAAGACGACCGGCCACCGGAGCCAGCGGACGCACTCGTTGTCGGGCTTGGAAGCTAGCCAGATTCCGGCTGCGATTATGGGGATGGAGCACATAAAGGCTATGAAGTTTAGGATTGCTGTGAGGTTGTTACTCACTGCCATGGTGGTTGGGAAGAAGAGGGAGAGTGTGGAAGTGAGGTTTTTGGAGAGAGAGAGAGAGATAATTGTTGAGAGTAAGAGTGTGGGGGAGTGGGGTTTTTGGAGAGGGATGGGGGAATCTGCTGGGTAGGAGTGGGAGAGGATGAGTTTTTGTCTTTTTTTTTTTTTTTCCCCCATCACTTTGATCATGTTGGTGTGAAAACAGGAAAACTGTTTGGTGGGACCGGCTTACGCGGTGGAGGTATATTTCTCAATACGCGCATTCTATTAATAGGAGAGGTGGTGTTAGAGTTGACAAAAATTACAGTTTAATCTCTCAACTAGTATAACTTTTTTATATTCTCCTTTCAATTATCATTTTTTTTTATCAAAAAAAAAAAATTATCATATTTTTTATATTACTAATTGATGTACGTCTGAGTTGTACGCTAATTATATTAAATTTTTTTTAAATAAATAGATAAGTTAAATTAATTTTTTTTTATGAAGATGATTATATATTATACGATAGTTATTGAATTTTATGGGGTTTATTTGTTCACTTATTCCCTTGTTAGTAGACAATTATACAAAGTGACACTGCTGACGTGAGGTAACTGTTGTGCTCAAGATTTTTCTTATATTTTAGGTTGTATGAACTGAATTATATAAGAGAATAATATTTTTTGGACTAATAAGACGTTATTACAATAAGTCATTATTGTTAAGTATGTTACAGTTTTTGTTAAGCATTTTACTATTTTTGTTAAACATGCTAACATTTTTGTTGAACATGTTACTGCTGTTATTTTTTAAAAATATTAATATTGAATGTTTCAATTTTTTTTATGTTTAAATGTTATTATTTTTTTTGTGTTTAAATATATTATTTTTTGTGTCTAAATGATAATTTTTTTTTATATTTGAAAGTTACTATTTTTTATTTTTAATGTTACTATATATATATATATAAGAGAAATTTTTTTAATATTAGTCAAACTTTTAACTTATATATGGATAAGTAATGTTATACGGACCAAATTTATTGACCAAATATCCATCTCAAATGAAATGACAATATATTATTTGGACTCTTTATTGGGACCCAAATGACATGACACTAATTAAATAAGTCCAAGTCAATTGCTATGTCATTTGAAATAGATATTTGGTCCCAAAATTTGATCACTCCAACATTAATGTATATGAATATCTATATAATAAGATAACTAGGTGTTTGAATTTATGGGGGTATATTTTTCCCCCCAAATTTCACAAACTCAACACAAATATTTCACAGCACATAGTTACACATACTCTAATACACACTCACTACACATACATACACACACATTACATATACACTCCAGCTGTACACACACATTTTAATACACACATAGTGTCATAGTTTAATATTTAGTGACTTCAGTCACGGAGTATCGCTAGTAGATAAATATAAGAGAGAAAAAATTTTAATGTTAGTCAAATTTTTAAGATTTATGAGTTTTTAATTTTTAATTTTATTTTAGTTTTAAAGAGAATGAATAGTATGATAAAATTGACAAAAAATAGACTTTATAATAAATAAATTTACTTTACAGATTTAAATTTAAATAAATCCATATAAGTGACGGCCTCCAAATTTTTCAATTTAATTAGACTGTCCAAAGAATCGAATCGTTGGAAAACCGAAAAATTGACCCATTTTTGTCTAAAACTGGTCAAGTGAAGATTCCTAAAACCGACCGGTTCAAAGCTTAAAACCAGTTGGTAGCCCTTCATCTTCTCCGTTTCCTTCCACTTTGTCTTTTTTGTTGAACGACGAATTAGATCTCGAAGACCATAGATCTAGATCTTGAAGAATCGAACACCACAGATCTAGATTTCGAAGACTTAAACACCATAGGCACGGTAACACACCACTTCGTCTCCTTCCACTTCCACAGATCTAGATCTCCTTCCACTTCATCTTCTTCCCCTTTCTCTCTCTTTCTCCACACAGACACAGTGATACACACCCACGAAAATGAAAGAAAAAAAGAAACGATGGCAGGCTGGGTTTGTTTTTGTCTATTTCCCCCTCTGTCTCTCTACACGTGCACACACACACGGTTATATTGAATCATTGAATATAAGTTAATACATATATAGTACATTATTTGATTTTTTTTTTGTGATTTTAAATTTTTAATTAAATTTTTATATTTTATAATATTTTATATTTTTTTAATTATATGACAAATTCGACCAGTTAACTCAACGATTGAACTTGTGAATTATTGATTCAATCGATCGGTTTGATGTTCGGTCCGGTTCGGATAACATTGCTCTCAATTATGATATTAGTTTCATATTGTATCAATTATTATCGTTTGTTATAAATTTAACAAAAAATTATTTTATTTTGTTTGATATCAATTTTACCCATCGACATAAACCCAACCCGGCATAAACCAAAAAATGAAATGATCAATTGACACAAATGATTAATAAGTCAAAATAAAGTTAGACATGGACAATATAATTAACAAGAATAGGTATTTTATAAATTTTTAATTGTTTTTATATAGTATTATATTAGATATTGTAGAATTAAATAATTTTTTTATAACAAAAATATTAACACCTACCAATAATAATATAACTTAAAAATAATATATTTAAAATGACACGTCACGATTGACAATCCTAATTTTATCCCCTAAAATAATTAATTTTTTTTTTAATTTTACCCTCGCTTGTTTGCAAAATCTATCCAAAAGGTAACAATTATACGAGGTGTTAAAGTTTATTTAATCTACATATAATCCACTCAAAATTATATAATCGTATCCACTTTGTATCAAGCATGTATAATTGCGATTATGCTGGCATATTTATTAGATGAATTTAATAAATCAATTTTGGGTTATTAACTAAATGTATAAAATTAAAGGCACTAACTTTATACTTGACAATTTTCTATCGTATTAGGAGTTACCAATCTGAGAATTAATTTTTTCAAAAATGTAAATTCAAAAAATAAGGACAAAAATCCAACCAACTGAAAAAAAAAAAAAAAAACCATTAAAGTATATATTTAGAAATTAAATTTGATTTAAAATTTAGAAAATTACTATCTAGAAATTATATATTGTGAATGAAAATAGGCCATAATTCATAAAATTTGGGCCAATTTTTTAAATAGAGTGGTAGTATTTTTCAAACTTTTATATGATAAGAAACATCTTGGAGAGGACATGTACATCAAGCAAAGCTAAGAATCACCACCGAAAATTGAATTCAAAAATACGAATTTAGAGTATTCAAAATATTTAATAGAATCCAAACTAAGAAATAGTTGTAGATTAATGTCTAATTAATGAAAAATTCTCCCTTGCTTTAGTACCACCCACTATCCAGAGGCAGGAGAGAGAGAGAGAGAGAGAGAGAGAGAGAGAGAAATCCTGCTGTCCACTGGACATGTGCACGCGCAATAGGATAGGATACTTCGGGGCCGCGTCCAGGGGACACTTCTGACATTCCGCCTCTCTTCCGGAATTTCTCAGAGTTAACAGTCTCGAAATGCTTTGCTCCGCGATTTGGCGAAAGAGAAAAATCTCAGTTTCTGTGACAGAGAAGAGTGAAATGTAAAAAAATGGAGTCTTGGGTACCTCTATTCGACATTTTCTTGAACTCCCCATGTCCTGAAACAGAAGCCTCTCTATGGCTACAACAATCTTTCAACCCCTCATCCACCACCACCATCTCCACAAACTCCTTCCTTTCATTGGTCACAAAACCCACTGACGCCATTATTGTCCACTCTTCGTTTCCTTCAAAATCTCCTCACACAAAGAGGTAATCTAAAAGATTTATGGGGGTCTTAGTTTCTGAAGAAACGTACAGTAACTTGTGGGTTAACGGCACTGAAAAAGTACAACACGGCCTATAAAATTGATTTTCGATCCAATAGTTGCGAGAGACAATATGGGGTTGAATGGAAATGAAAGGACTTTATGTTTGAATGTATATATATTCGCATAGTTGCTTAATTTTTTTAACAAAGTGTGTTTATATGTTGTTAATGGACAGGGTAATGTGGATTCGGACACTGCCAAATGCAGTTCAAGCACGAATCCTATCGTTTCTTGCATTCGAGCACCGGAGGTTTGGCACGCGAGACTTGTCTAAACTTGCCCGGGATATGTTGAGTGAGAGTGATGAACTGGATTTTTGGGTAAAGAGAGCTGCACGCCAACTGCTTGACGTAGTATCTGACTCCAATTATGAGTGGGTATCTTGTTTGAATTTGGATTCAGAACAAGAAAAAGTGGATGATGATTTTGGGTCATTGCCAGATTGGCTTAAGGATGCGGCATATACCAGTGACTTGGTTCTTCCATGGCTTCCTATATCCCCTGATCGATTAAATTTGAGAATGCCATTTAGTAGTAGTGGTGGGAATGAGGATTTGTTGATTGAAGTTGAAGAGGATGAACAAGAGTTCAGATGAAGTTATGACAGACGTTGATGTTGTCAATCCAAAAAATGATCCTATACACCCTGAAGTTGAAAAGAAGGCTAGTAGTTTGAAAGCCGTGTATTAAATTTTGAATCTACTTCTAAAACTGTTGAATTGGCTGATGAAATTTGATAACTAGTGTAGAAAGAGGAGGAGATTCTTTGGAAATTTTGGGTTTGATTGAGCCTTGGAAAGTGGATGATGAGATAACTTTCATTTTGATTTCTCAGCTTTCAAGTGGAAATCAAGAAGAACTCAGCTGGCCAAGTCATGTTCTATGCTCAATTATGCTTCCCAAGCTTTTGGCACTTGAGGAACCACTGAACCCGCTTCTCGTCTACTTGTGGTTGCTACAATAGAATACCGCAAGCTTCATCAGAGGCCTGCAGTGTATGCTCTGTTGCATCCATTTACTCTCCAAACGAAGGGTGTTAACACTCATATTTGTAAGGTGATGACGAGAATCATCAAAGAATGCTTGCACCCTGCTTATGTTTCTGCCTTCTGCCAAAAACTAATATGTGGAGGAGAAGATGTGCGGAAATTCATTTGCCTTCCCTGCCACCAATGCCTGATTAGGCCGATATCAAATGAACTGGTATGGACGGAGCCATTGTTTAACTTGTTTCAGAATGCCTTGAATCATAATATTACTATGACCCAAGATTCAGTTGATCAACTTGTCTATAGAGCTTGCGAATCCACAGACAACTTTTCTAAATTTTTGAAGTTTAGGAACTTTTTATTATGCTTAGTCAACAAATGTGCTCCTTTATTGAAGTCTCACAAGCTTTTATTGACCGAAGCTGTTGAGCATGTAATACTTTTGTGACCAAATCCATCCTATCAAAACTGGCTAGTTTGTGATTACTTATATTATTGTCTATGGAAGGTTTTCCTTGCTGCGGGCTTCAGCCACTTAGACAGTTCAGAAATTTTGAATAACTTGGGTGTCGGTTCAAAACTCTTTCTGATCTTACCTAGCTAGGACCATCTATAGGAATGCTGTTTCTCTGGTTTTGTTGCAGCAAACTACTTTTTTATTTCTCAGTTTTGATCCACAGAGTCGTCTCATTTTTGATAAACTTGAAATGATAGTTTCCATTGTGCATTGTAAATAATGATTATGCTGTGATGTTTTCACCCAAATCCTTGCCATTGAATGTTGTAAAGAGCTAAATCTCTCTTATTGCTGTATCTAAATGTTGCTTTGGATGCCCTAATTTTATAACAACCGTGATCAACAACCCCCCCCCCCCCAAACAAAAAAAAATAATAAAATGAAGAACAGTAGATATGAAAATGTGAAGAGGAGTTGACTGAACTGAACCTTTTGGGATATCTTGGTAGATTGGGGGAAATTTTATGCAAAGCATTCTGCTACTTGGCTAGGCAAATTTTATGCAAAGCATCCAACAACTTATATTCTTCGTCAGTTAATTTACAGCACTGTACTTCTATGCAGGGGACCTTCTATATTTTGATGCATGTATGTCATAAAGAAAACTAATAGATGCAATGGTCTTTGTAGGAATGAGTCTGATCTTTAACATGCAAAGATGATGTGGAATTTCACTCAATCAGTTCGATTGAGGGAAGTTTTTGTTGAGAAGGACCAAAATTTAGCATGGTGCTTTCATAAATGAGATAGCCCTACTCATGCCATTTAGCTATAGCTCAACCCATTGATTAGTATAGTTATTTTTTTATCATTACAGATTGTGACCGACTCTGATGAAACCATTCTTTGATTGGGCATAGAAGGATAAAGGAAGCAATATATATTAGCTTCTCTTGAACTTTAAAGGAAACTTAGCCAACACACCCACCCCTCTGAAAAAAGGGGCAACAAGGGTTGACGGTGCACACATGCATAGTTACTAATACATATGATATGGGCTAATTATTTGCTCTTTCACAGTAGAGGACTCTAGTGCCCGTTGGTCATTTTCTTGATGGACACAAATCTGGTACCCTTGTCTCCAAACTTTGTTTGGGCGTAAAAGTTCAGATAATCTTGAAAACGGAAGTGATTGGGATATAATAGCTTGGTAGCTGGAGAGATTATAGCATCACCAGCTGGATTGTAGAAGGTGGCAATGGAGAGTCNCCACTCTTCGTTTCCTTCAAAATCTCCTCACACAAAGAGGTAATCTAAAAGATTTATGGGGGTCTTAGTTTCTGAAGAAACGTACAGTAACTTGTGGGTTAACGGCACTGAAAAAGTACAACACGGCCTATAAAATTGATTTTCGATCCAATAGTTGCGAGAGACAATATGGGGTTGAATGGAAATGAAAGGACTTTATGTTTGAATGTATATATATTCGCATAGTTGCTTAATTTTTTTAACAAAGTGTGTTTATATGTTGTTAATGGACAGGGTAATGTGGATTCGGACACTGCCAAATGCAGTTCAAGCACGAATCCTATCGTTTCTTGCATTCGAGCACCGGAGGTTTGGCACGCGAGACTTGTCTAAACTTGCCCGGGATATGTTGAGTGAGAGTGATGAACTGGATTTTTGGGTAAAGAGAGCTGCACGCCAACTGCTTGACGTAGTATCTGACTCCAATTATGAGTGGGTATCTTGTTTGAATTTGGATTCAGAACAAGAAAAAGTGGATGATGATTTTGGGTCATTGCCAGATTGGCTTAAGGATGCGGCATATACCAGTGACTTGGTTCTTCCATGGCTTCCTATATCCCCTGATCGATTAAATTTGAGAATGCCATTTAGTAGTAGTGGTGGGAATGAGGATTTGTTGATTGAAGTTGAAGAGGATGAACAAGAGTTCAGATGAAGTTATGACAGACGTTGATGTTGTCAATCCAAAAAATGATCCTATACACCCTGAAGTTGAAAAGAAGGCTAGTAGTTTGAAAGCCGTGTATTAAATTTTGAATCTACTTCTAAAACTGTTGAATTGGCTGATGAAATTTGATAACTAGTGTAGAAAGAGGAGGAGATTCTTTGGAAATTTTGGGTTTGATTGAGCCTTGGAAAGTGGATGATGAGATAACTTTCATTTTGATTTCTCAGCTTTCAAGTGGAAATCAAGAAGAACTCAGCTGGCCAAGTCATGTTCTATGCTCAATTATGCTTCCCAAGCTTTTGGCACTTGAGGAACCACTGAACCCGCTTCTCGTCTACTTGTGGTTGCTACAATAGAATACCGCAAGCTTCATCAGAGGCCTGCAGTGTATGCTCTGTTGCATCCATTTACTCTCCAAACGAAGGGTGTTAACACTCATATTTGTAAGGTGATGACGAGAATCATCAAAGAATGCTTGCACCCTGCTTATGTTTCTGCCTTCTGCCAAAAACTAATATGTGGAGGAGAAGATGTGCGGAAATTCATTTGCCTTCCCTGCCACCAATGCCTGATTAGGCCGATATCAAATGAACTGGTATGGACGGAGCCATTGTTTAACTTGTTTCAGAATGCCTTGAATCATAATATTACTATGACCCAAGATTCAGTTGATCAACTTGTCTATAGAGCTTGCGAATCCACAGACAACTTTTCTAAATTTTTGAAGTTTAGGAACTTTTTATTATGCTTAGTCAACAAATGTGCTCCTTTATTGAAGTCTCACAAGCTTTTATTGACCGAAGCTGTTGAGCATGTAATACTTTTGTGACCAAATCCATCCTATCAAAACTGGCTAGTTTGTGATTACTTATATTATTGTCTATGGAAGGTTTTCCTTGCTGCGGGCTTCAGCCACTTAGACAGTTCAGAAATTTTGAATAACTTGGGTGTCGGTTCAAAACTCTTTCTGATCTTACCTAGCTAGGACCATCTATAGGAATGCTGTTTCTCTGGTTTTGTTGCAGCAAACTACTTTTTTATTTCTCAGTTTTGATCCACAGAGAGTGGTGTCATTTTTGATAAACTTGAAATGATAGTTTCCATTGTGCATTGTAAATAATGATTATGCTGTGATGTTTTCACCCAAATCCTTGCCATTGAATGTTGTAAAGAGCTAAATCTCTCTTATTGCTGTATCTAAATGTTGCTTTGGATGCCCTAATTTTATAACAACCGTGATCAACAACCCCCCCCCCCCCAAACAAAAAAAAATAATAAAATGAAGAACAGTAGATATGAAAATGTGAAGAGGAGTTGACTGAACTGAACCTTTGGGGATATCTTGGTAGATTGGGGGAAATTTTATGCAAAGCATTCTGCTACTTGGCTAGGCAAATTTTATGCAAAGCATCCAACAACTTATATTCTTTGTCAGTTAATTTACAGCACTGTACTTCTATGCAGGGGACCTTCTATATTTTGATGCATGTATGTCATAAAGAAAACTAATAGATGCAATGGTCTTTGTAGGAATGAGTCTGATCTTTAACATGCAAAGATGATGTGGAATTTCACTCAATCAGTTCGATTGAGGGAAGTTTTTGTTGAGAAGGACCAAAATTTAGCATGGTGCTTTCATAAATGAGATAGCCCTACTCATGCCATTTAGCTATAGCTCAACCCATTGATTAGTATAGTTATTTTTTTATCATTACAGATTGTGACCGACTCTGATGAAACCATTCTTTGATTGGGCATAGAAGGATAAAGGAAGCAATATATATTAGCTTCTCTTGAACTTTAAAGGAAACTTAGCCAACACACCCACCCCTCTGAAAAAAGGGGCAACAAGGGTTGACGGTGCACACATGCATAGTTACTAATACATATGATATGGGCTAATTATTTGCTCTTTCACAGTAGAGGACTCTAGTGCCCGTTGGTCATTTTCTTGATGGACACAAATCTGGTACCCTTGTCTCCAAACTTTGTTTGGGCGTAAAAGTTCAGATAATCTTGAAAACGGAAGTGATTGGGATATAATAGCTTGGTAGCTGGAGAGATTATAGCATCACCAGCTGGATTGTAGAAGGTGGCAATGGAGAGTCTGCTTCCGTTCTTGTCTGTCATGACACGGTGCAAAGCACTTTTGTACATTCCATTGGTCAAAACTTCCAATTGATCGCCTGTGTTAATGAAGATGGTGTTATTCTTGGAAGGTGGAATCTCTACCCATTGTCCATCTTTGAAGAATTCGAGACCAGGTACTTTGTCATCTTGGAGCAAAAGAATAATCCCACCAGCATCTGTGTGCTCACGCAGTCCTCTGACTAGTTCAGGGTTATGGCATTGAGGGTATTTTGCAACTTTTGTCCCCACCGAAGGACCTTTGCTTCCTGTAAATGCTTCCCTTATATANCGAGACTTGTCTAAACTTGCCCGGGATATGTTGAGTGAGAGTGATGAACTGGATTTTTGGGTAAAGAGAGCTGCACGCCAACTGCTTGACGTAGTATCTGACTCCAATTATGAGTGGGTATCTTGTTTGAATTTGGATTCAGAACAAGAAAAAGTGGATGATGATTTTGGGTCATTGCCAGATTGGCTTAAGGATGCGGCATATACCAGTGACTTGGTTCTTCCATGGCTTCCTATATCCCCTGATCGATTAAATTTGAGAATGCCATTTAGTAGTAGTGGTGGGAATGAGGATTTGTTGATTGAAGTTGAAGAGGATGAACAAGAGTTCAGATGAAGTTATGACAGACGTTGATGTTGTCAATCCAAAAAATGATCCTATACACCCTGAAGTTGAAAAGAAGGCTAGTAGTTTGAAAGCCGTGTATTAAATTTTGAATCTACTTCTAAAACTGTTGAATTGGCTGATGAAATTTGATAACTAGTGTAGAAAGAGGAGGAGATTCTTTGGAAATTTTGGGTTTGATTGAGCCTTGGAAAGTGGATGATGAGATAACTTTCATTTTGATTTCTCAGCTTTCAAGTGGAAATCAAGAAGAACTCAGCTGGCCAAGTCATGTTCTATGCTCAATTATGCTTCCCAAGCTTTTGGCACTTGAGGAACCACTGAACCCGCTTCTCGTCTACTTGTGGTTGCTACAATAGAATACCGCAAGCTTCATCAGAGGCCTGCAGTGTATGCTCTGTTGCATCCATTTACTCTCCAAACGAAGGGTGTTAACACTCATATTTGTAAGGTGATGACGAGAATCATCAAAGAATGCTTGCACCCTGCTTATGTTTCTGCCTTCTGCCAAAAACTAATATGTGGAGGAGAAGATGTGCGGAAATTCATTTGCCTTCCCTGCCACCAATGCCTGATTAGGCCGATATCAAATGAACTGGTATGGACGGAGCCATTGTTTAACTTGTTTCAGAATGCCTTGAATCATAATATTACTATGACCCAAGATTCAGTTGATCAACTTGTCTATAGAGCTTGCGAATCCACAGACAACTTTTCTAAATTTTTGAAGTTTAGGAACTTTTTATTATGCTTAGTCAACAAATGTGCTCCTTTATTGAAGTCTCACAAGCTTTTATTGACCGAAGCTGTTGAGCATGTAATACTTTTGTGACCAAATCCATCCTATCAAAACTGGCTAGTTTGTGATTACTTATATTATTGTCTATGGAAGGTTTTCCTTGCTGCGGGCTTCAGCCACTTAGACAGTTCAGAAATTTTGAATAACTTGGGTGTCGGTTCAAAACTCTTTCTGATCTTACCTAGCTAGGACCATCTATAGGAATGCTGTTTCTCTGGTTTTGTTGCAGCAAACTACTTTTTTATTTCTCAGTTTTGATCCACAGAGTCGTCTCATTTTTGATAAACTTGAAATGATAGTTTCCATTGTGCATTGTAAATAATGATTATGCTGTGATGTTTTCACCCAAATCCTTGCCATTGAATGTTGTAAAGAGCTAAATCTCTCTTATTGCTGTATCTAAATGTTGCTTTGGATGCCCTAATTTTATAACAACCGTGATCAACAACCCCCCCCCCCCCAAACAAAAAAAAATAATAAAATGAAGAACAGTAGATATGAAAATGTGAAGAGGAGTTGACTGAACTGAACCTTTTGGGATATCTTGGTAGATTGGGGGAAATTTTATGCAAAGCATTCTGCTACTTGGCTAGGCAAATTTTATGCAAAGCATCCAACAACTTATATTCTTTGTCAGTTAATTTACAGCACTGTACTTCTATGCAGGGGACCTTCTATATTTTGATGCATGTATGTCATAAAGAAAACTAATAGATGCAATGGTCTTTGTAGGAATGAGTCTGATCTTGAACATGCAAAGATGATGTGGAATTTCACTCAATCAGTTCGATTGAGGGAAGTTTTTGTTGAGAAGGACCAAAATTTAGCATGGTGCTTTCATAAATGAGATAGCCCTACTCATGCCATTTAGCTATAGCTCAACCCATTGATTAGTATAGTTATTTTTTTATCATTACAGATTGTGACCGACTCTGATGAAACCATTCTTTGATTGGGCATAGAAGGATAAAGGAAGCAATATATATTAGCTTCTCTTGAACTTTAAAGGAAACTTAGCCAACACACCCACCCCTCTGAAAAAAGGGGCAACAAGGGTTGACGGTGCACACATGCATAGTTACTAATACATATGATATGGGCTAATTATTTGCTCTTTCACAGTAGAGGACTCTAGTGCCCGTTGGTCATTTTCTTGATGGACACAAATCTGGTACCCTTGTCTCCAAACTTTGTTTGGGCGTAAAAGTTCAGATAATCTTGAAAACGGAAGTGATTGGGATATAATAGCTTGGTAGCTGGAGAGATTATAGCATCACCAGCTGGATTGTAGAAGGTGGCAATGGAGAGTCTGCTTCCGTTCTTGTCTGTCATGACACGGTGCAAAGCACTTTTGTACATTCCATTGGTCAAAACTTCCAATTGATCGCCTGTGTTAATGAAGATGGTGTTATTCTTGGAAGGTGGAATCTCTACCCATTGTCCATCTTTGAAGAATTCGAGACCAGGTACTTTGTCATCTTGGAGCAAAAGAATAATCCCACCAGCATCTGTGTGCTCACGCAGTCCTCTGACTAGTTCAGGGTTATGGCATTGAGGGTATTTTGCAACTTTTGTCCCCACCGAAGGACCTTTGCTTCCTGTAAATGCTTCCCTTATATAACCCTTCTCCAAACCCAGATTCTCGGACATAAGTTCTGAAAGCTTTTCTGCCAAGTTGATCAGTTGATCAATGTATCCATCCATTGTTTTGCTGAATAAATGCTCCATTCGTTAGTCAATTAGCACATTTGCACGTGATTTGAAAGTTAAGACTTGCACAAATACTAAGCGGCATTGCGTAGGATGTCCAGTGAGTAATTCTTATAATATCTTATACTAATTATGCATTGTGTGCGCTTATGTGTCCTGTTTTGCATGTTCAAAGAGCATTATCCTTCTGGCTAAAAGCCGGACAGATGATCTTGATGACAACTTACCAAAGATCCTCCGAGAGGCTGGTAATCTCATGGATGTTAGAGTTTGGACGATGCCAAATGAAAAAGGTGCTTTCCCAGTCTATGTTAGTGGTATTGCCTGTATTCTCCACGCTCTTTGGTATTTCCGAGTCGTAGAACCTCTTCTTCATGTTCTCTTCATAATGTTGATTCACCAACTGCTTCACCTTGTCCATCAACTCTTTATCAATTCCATGGTTCTCAATCTGCAGATATCAAACCAACTNCTGCTTCTCGTCTACTTGTGGTTGCTACAATAGAATACTGCAAGCTTCATCAGAGGCCTGCAGTGTATGCTCTGTTGCATCCATTTACTCTCCAAACGGAGGGTGTTAAAACTCATATTTGTAAGGTGATGACGAGAATCATCAAAGAATGCTTGCACCCTGCTTANAGTGGAGGTTCTCATCAAAGGCTTAATTTATGTGCTTAAATGACATTGTGATTTTACCTGAAAGAAACCCCATTTCTCACAGGCCTGGTGGAGAAGCGCCATTGTTTTGCTTCTCTTCTCTCCATCAAGCTCATTGAAGTCTATCACAGGGATCTCCATCTCTCTCTCTCTCTCTCTCTCTCTCTCTCTCTCTCTCTCNTATGTTTCTGCCTTCTGCCAAAAACTAATATGTGGAGGAGAAGATGTGCGGAAATTCATTTGCCTTCCCTGCCACCAATGCCTGATTAGGCCGATATCAAATGAACTGGTATGGACGGAGCCATTGTTTAACTTGTTTCAGAATGCCTTGAATCATAATATTACTATGACCCAAGATTCAGTTGATCAACTTGTCTATAGAGNGAATGAGGAAGATATGTAAGTTAGCGTAGTATATATAGGCATTTTGCATGGGTGTAGATATTGTTGGCAATATTATATTTTGGTGGAAGTTACATTTGCAAAAATGGTAGTTGCAGTTAACTGTGAACTCATTGAGGTATTTGATGTAACCATTCAATAAAAAAATTACAAATATGGATAAAATCAGGCTCATTTGCTATTATGCAGGTAATTATGTATTACATAGTTGGAGATTATAAATTTTTACGGGGCNCTAAATTTTTGAAGTTTAGGAACTTTTTATTATGCTTAGTCAACAAATGTGCTCCTTTATTGAAGTCTCACAAGCTTTTATTGACCGAAGCTGTTGAGCATGTAATACTTTTGTGACCAAATCCATCCTATCAAAACTGGCTAGTTTGTGATTACTTATATTATTGTCTATGGAAGGTTTTCCTTGCTGCGGGCTTCAGCCACTTAGACAGTTCAGAAATTTTGAATAACTTGGGTGTCGGTTGAAAACTCTTTCTGATCTTACCTAGCTAGGACCATCTATAGGAATGCTGTTTCTCTGGTTTTGTTGCAGCAAACTACTTTTTTATTTCTCAGTTTTGATCCACAGAGTCGTCTCATTTTTGATAAACTTGAAATGATAGTTTCCATTGTGCATTGTAAATAATGATTANCCAAGTTTTGATCACCACCGCCACCACCACCATGTGATTAGTCTAGTTTTTAGCCGACCTCTCTCTTATAGATCAAGTTTTCTCCTCCATTTGCTAGGAAAGAATTTCCCGGATAATATGTTTCCTTCCATGTGAGAGCCTTTTTTTCTATTTTCTAGTTTCTACTTGTACAATATGCATCAACTAGGCTTTATTCTATGTTATTTTTTTTTCTAAGGATACTTTTCTATGAGTGGGTGTTCTTTCTTTGTATTGCAATTCTTCTTTGTTTAAGTAAAACTAGGGGCTGTGTGACATTGAATGAGTTGCCTTCAAACAGCGAACAGTGCTAGGAAAGGACCACATAAATCTTGCTGTGGGCGGTTTTGGATACAAGTATTTGGAGTGCCATACTGCATCTATTGATTGTGACATNTATGCTGTGATGTTTTCACCCAAATCCTTGCCATTGAATGTTGTAAAGAGCTAAATCTCTCTTATTGCTGTATCTAAATGTTGCTTTGGATGCCCTAATTTTATAACAACCGTGATCAACAACCCCCCCCCCCCCCAACAAAAAAAAATAATAAAATGAAGAACAGTAGATATGAAAATGTGAAGAGGAGTTGACTGAACTGAACCTTTTGGGATATCTTGGTAGATTGGGGGAAATTTTATGCAAAGCATTCTGCTACTTGGCTAGGCAAATTTTATGCAAAGCATCCAACAACTTATATTCTTTGTCAGTTAATTTACAGCACTGTACTTCTATGCAGGGGACCTTCTATATTTTGATG